AACCGTGTCAACGACCGTAGGTAGTTAGAGTAGGTCGTATTTGTGTGACGAAAACGTTACGCGCTTTTACGCAAGCATCGCGATTGATTCGCGATACTCGAGTAGTATCGATGAGGTTGATTATGCAAAATCAATCTATAACGCGCAACGTGATCGTGAAACGATCTGTGATCCATTATTATTATTATTACGCGTTACTCGAAACGAGTTATATAATTCCAACTGTATTTAAATATCGGTAAATAGGGATAATTAAGCGTTCAAGAAACGAGGATTTTCGGTTAAACCGATGGAAATAACTAACTCGTGATTGTAATAACGCGTGATAATTAAACGAGGTGAGTGTTTAATTATGACTTGCTCTTACGACGAATGCAATACGTAAGCCCGGATTCCGCGAACGTGTCCGAGAGATGAATCATTTTGTCCCGAAGCATGGAAAACTCACCAACCAGATCTTTCGTTATTTGCCATCCTCTATTGACACGAATTAAGAAAATTTTACAAGTGTCTGTTGCTTATCGTTCCATCTTATATTATTTGCTTAATTAAATTTTGTTGTAGGTGAATACGTGTATGTATATGTATGTTTTTGTGGGTGTGTGCGTGTCGTTTCGAGATAAAGAATTATACCTTCAAAGATAAAAATATTCGTAGAAATCTACTACGAGAATCAAAGAATAAACGAATATCTCTCGTAAAGATAGTTTATCGCTTCCCGTTTAGAATTCCATTTGAAAATAAAGGAGAGGAGGATGGCGTGAACGGAATGAAATATCTGTGGAAAATAAAAAATCAAATAACACGAGGACTGTCTATATGTTAGAAATTGTATACGTCATAAGCGTAGAAGAATGTACGGTACGTGGAGTCTCTCTAGTTTCATCAGGAGCGTAGCAATTAGGTCGACATTTATTCTACTACGAACGCGACATACCCTACGTTCTTCTGCAATAAATTTTGCCACGTAATAACATACCACATCGTTATACACGTATAATATTAAATTAAACCGGCAAATTCTCCGTTATCGTGGAATTAGATTAGATGCGAACACTTTGATCTTAAATTTTTCTCTCACCGTATACCGAATCAATTATCGGTGCATTGATAAATAATCGTATTTTTTGCGAGATAAAATTTTTTTGAAATTTATCAGTGAAATCATTTTCACGATTTATCCATTATCTTATAACTTTAACTACGAATCTTTATACTCGTAATTATTATATTATTATAACGTATTAATAATGTTATATTAGAATATTAAAATATTAAATATTATATTATTATACGAATTAAATTTTAATAAATAATAATCTACAGATCTACGGTTCAAATTTGAAGATCGATTGCCTGGATAAAATCTTCTTCCCTGTACTCGTAGTAATTTCATCCGAATTGTCCAGAGGATTGATAGGGGTCTTTGACCGTAGGCTGTAACATTAACTATTTCCACTATTGGTATGCGTGGGCCACGAAACTGGATTATCTAAACCCTCTTCTGCACAGAGTATAGTTGCGAGTATATTCCGTGCGAACGCGTCTCAGTGCCGTATTTAAAAGACAAATGCTGAAGACCTTATCCTTGGACCGATGACTCGCCGTCCATCGATCAACGTTGACTCACCGAATCAGGATTCATTCTTCTCGCGAGATATGATCGTTAAACAATCGCGATAACAATCGAATGAAACAATTTGCAATGTATTATTATGTACGCGATTATATATTATTAACGCGAAATCAATGAAGGAATATGAAGAATTTAATTTTCGAAGAATAAAAGAAACTATATTCTATAAAAAAATTTCAATTCTAATAAAATTAGTAGACATGTTTGTGCAGGATTGTTGTGTTTACGAGCACCACCGTTAGAGCGAGGAAACTATCTTTAGCATTTTCAATTACGTCATTTGCATCGACCTTTCTTTACAGCTCAAGGTAAGCACGAGTTAAGTTCGAGAGTCGTACAGAGGGAAAGGTATTTCGTGTAAATGTGACCTTAAACTTTCCGTGTATACGAGGCGTATCCCTCGACGTGTACCATGCACGTGGCCAAGATTGTAATTCAACTATCATAATTTCCACCCTGACTTATCACGCAACAGGCATAGTTAATTTTCGATCATTTTTGTTCTACGAGAGTGTGATAAGTTAGAACACCTTTTCCCCTGGCAAAGACACGTCCCCGTCATCGTCGTGATGACCGGGATTTATTAAACAAAATAGTTTGCCACGCGAAACTTTCATACCATGTTTCCTCGTCTTGCCGGTAATAAACTTTATAGAGAGTAATTATGATATAACAGTGCATTAATTAGTATAAGAGTTTCACTACGCTCCGCCCCTTTCTTCCCGGTTTTATTACCTTTATTGACTAACTGATTTAATTTCAAGCTTCAAATCTATACAAAAGTTCGTAACAAAGAAAAAAATAGAGAAGAAAGGAAAGTAACGCGGAGATAATAATGTTATTCAATGAAATTATTCATGAGCGTTAAGTGCATCGCAAGTAATCACAACGATATCCTTGAATTATATAAGCAAGAACTATTGAGAGAACTCGAGCAATAAGCAGCCACTCTACTCTCTATTCGAGTCGTTCTGTTACGATGAACAACAAAAGCTGGTGTTGCTTGATACCGAGCGTTATTCATAACCCTAGATCGATAAATACCAAACGCTAGGTCGCGTTTTATATCCACTTCGATGGAAAGTATCCGTTTCGTTTTACTTTATACCGACATCGAGAAAAATAATATAGGTAACCGCGGAAAAAAATAGGCGGGGACAGTCTGCTTTGCATGGTAATCGAATTCAAACAAGATACTATCCGACCATTATAAAATTTATAAACCATCGAGGGAAAATATCCTGATCCTGGAATGTCTAACTGGAGTAACGAACTTCTTTGTGGCAACAAAAATTTCGATTGAAAAACTTATCTAAATCCCCTTTGTTAATAATATCTCGCGATAAATGTTTCGAAATCAATTTCAATAGTTTCGACAATATTTCATGTTACAATGTTCCAAAAGTAAAATATGTATATCTTTGATGAAAACGTTAAAAAAAAATTATCGACGATATTTGCAATACGAATATTTTATTTCTAGTAATTGTCCATCGATCGGAATTGAGTAACGAACGAATATGTAAAGTAAATAGCAACGAACGCCAAGGTTACGAAATTGAGAAAAAGCATCGAAGCGATTCGCGAATCACAATGGAGAAAAATACAAAAAACGCAAAAAAAATATCTATTATGTAAAGCACCGTACCATTGTTCCTGATTATACGGATAAAAATAATGCAAAACGTATTTTAAAATTAATAATAGAAATATTGAAATAGATTAGGAAGTCGATATATTATTATTACAAAGATTACGAATGTGTAAAGTGGAACAATATCGATGATAAACATACCATTATCGCGATATAATAATTCACACGAAACGTTTCTTCGTCAGATATGTATACAATAATTTCTTGGAATTATTTCTATTTCCTAATCTTTTCTCTCTATTCCTAAATAAAGCATTTACGTCGTATCTATTTTAGAAAGTAATTCGAAGATATGTTATCAGTTATAAATGCCGAAATTACGGATAAGACGACAGCGTTGTTTCTTTTTAACTTTTTTTTTAGAAAGAAATCACGATAATTTTCGACTTTCCAAACTATATATTTCAATAATCAATAGTTCGATAATGTTTTCATTCACATTTACTTTACTATTAATACGACGTGATCCCGGTGACCATCGTTTAACTTTAACAATGATTATATGATAATACGAATTACCATGCCGGTCAATTAGATCGACCGAAGCTACGAGTACGCTTAGAGGTTATTTTTACAATTTTCTCAGTAATAATTCACCATTAAGGATCAAGTTATAATTCGTTTAATCACATTTTCACCGCATCGCGACGAAATCAAATCATCTGTCTTGGTAGTTACCAGAATCAAATATGATTTCAACAAGAATCGATTACGCTGATCAATAGAAGCTTCCTGAACGTTATACAATATCGAACTATTGATTCGTCATAATATTTAACCATCAATTAGGCGTTTTCCTTACGTTAAATTTCGAAAGTCAGGTGGATTTCTTACGTTTTACCGTGGCATCGACGTAGAAATTACTCCGTTTCATCGTATTTTCCGGTAGTTTTCACGTGAACACGATAATTTTTACAAGAATTATTCCCATCTTTTATACGCCATTTTAATAACGCGAGAATTCGAACCGTTCGATAGATCGATTATTGTAAAGTATGGTCGTAAGAATCTCGCAATGTTGCCACGAAAAAAAAAACCGTTACACGTACGTCACTGATTTCGTTATGATGGCCGAGAGACGAATAATTACAATCAAATTACGCTGAACGATAATAATATAAAAATAAAGTACATTTATTGTTCTGTCGCACCTTTAACTGCCGTCGAACACAACAGGCCGATGAGGCAGACCCAGGCAAGCGTCATCTTGAAGTTGCTCGTTGATTCCATGCACATCACAAAAAAAAGCACTGTCTAACTTCCTTATTGAAAAACGAACTGCCCGATAATTCAAACAGCGCGTTCTAACCGGACGGAGCACAAAACTTAGCAACGAAACTGACGCAAATATGATTAATATGAAGCACGAGGATAAAATGAGGTAAGAACGAGAGACGTGCGACGTCAATTCGAATATAAGTGCCCGACTCGACGTGAGTGCCAACCAGATAGCTCGACGCGCGAAGACCGTCTGCCGCGCGCTTTGCTTTCGGCCCACTTCGTGAGACATCGGCAGAAGCCGAGATCGCCCGAACGCCCCGATCCCCCGATAGCGCCGTTTGATATCGTCCACCGTTGTACCTACTTTCGTACTTTCGTGCCTAACCTACGTACACACGCACTTTACCGTATGTCTGGTATTATGTGTTTATTTTGTATACATATTCGCATCGACGATTCTCTATCTGGAGAATGGATTTACAGGAACGTACGTCATCCTCTTTTTTCTTTTATTTCAATTTTTCAACGATTTCGATCTTGACGTTGATTCATGTAGTTCAAGAATGAGATCTGTCATTTTATTGCAATTAGTGAATATTAATGTACATTTATACTTTTTTCGACAACAGTTTTTTTATTAGTGAGAGAATTTTATTGCCGAGTGTAAAAATTGTTTTTAGATGAAAAAATTAGAAATTATTTTTCAATTATATAAATATAGGTTATGTGTTTCTGTATTTTTTAATTAAATATTCCTTCGAATTGAAAATTGAATGAAAATGAATTAATATAAACGAAACATTCTATCGAATGTAAAAGTATAACCTAAAAGTGATTGTTTAAATGGTTTGTGGAAAGTGAAGTGTCTTAAAATTTCTTATCTTAAAAGAGGATTCTTTTAAAATTAATTTTTGTGAATCTCTTGCCTAATTTTCGTTTTATTTTTATCTTATTATTTAATATAATGAAACATGCTGAATTTATCGCCATATTAATGTCTATCTTCGAGACAACAAGTATATAACAATATGATCGATATATCGAAAGTTGATTTTTGACAAGAGAGAGAGAATAAATATTTGAATATTCGAGTAGCAAGTAGAAATAAATCTTTCGTAGATGTATATCTATCTACTATGGCACGTTTATAGTTGTCTCTTGATACATCATGTCACACTTTCATTGACCTTTTCTATGCATTGTGTATTCGGTATTAAGGATGCAAGGAAAAAATTGAACATTTTTACGACATTATAAGCAATATAGACGTGAGTATATGAATTCGATCTTAACCTCATTCGGTTTGATTGCATGATAAGTTACTGTGAAAGTTTTATTAATAAACTAGATAACCATAATATTACATCGTAAAACATGATCCGTAGATCCGATAAAAATCGCAAAAAGAAATTTGAAATATTTATCTCAACTTATAAACAGGTTTCTGTTTCAGTAAAAATTTCACGTTCAAGAATTATTAACCCTGATTAAAACAAAAACCTAAGAAATCGTTTCACGGTCTAGAGGTTATACGTCGAGGAAGGAATTACCAGTAAAGACCCGAAGGAAAGGAATGAAAGATATATCAGAATAGGTGTGGCCATGAACATAGTATATGTATATTGCAATATCGGTTTAAGGAATATTCTAATTGTTAACATTTTCTATTCGAATATAAATTCTAATTATTAACATTTTCTATTCAAATATAAATTATATGTTTGTAAAACATGAATCTATAAAGTATGTTAAAAAATCATTTATAGAAACTGGTTTATGGCTTACAGGATTCATATTTACAATAAAATTATCACGAAATGAAAGTAAAGAAAAGACACTAAACCTATGTCAAGATAGGAAGAATCGTACACAGGTATAATGATATTGTGAAACGACACAGTTAGACCAAATGCAACTACAAAGCGTGCAAGTGTATCACCATGTGCATTATGACAATGCTTTCCTATCGATGTTTACTCGACGATAACATTGCTGGGTCTTACAAATGCGATTCTACACCATGGCGTACGTGACCGATATGTCGAAGGCGTGCCGTCTGGGACCACAGAAGCTGCAACGGCATATACTAAGAAGACGTACACTGAGAACCACAGTTCCGGAATTTATCAGGTAAGATAGTACCCACTTCCAGGAGACTCGATGCATGTTATGTGGATGAGAATACAAACTCCAGGGAGTGTACGCGTATGCTCCTAACTGGTGCTCCTAACTGCGCTTAAAAGTTTTACGTTCTTTTTACAATGAGTTTTAGCACGAAATGTAAATTCATTTCCTTTTTTCTTAAAATTCTACTCGAGATAGATAACAATTTTAAAGTTTCGTAATACGTATATGGGAATTGAGAAATTTTCGATCTAAATCTCATTTCGAATTCCATTAATTTTTTTTTTCCATCTTGAAATCTAATTCTTGTCTCGATAAATCGTTACGATCGATGTTCAACTATTAAACGATCAATAGAAATTATCGAACATAATTCGGTCAGACAAACCAGTAAACCGTTACAAACCGTTATGTACAAACTTTTTACGTTTGTTTCTTTGTCGGGACGGAAAATTAGGTTTATCGTACGGATGAATTATAACAAACGGTGATCATGGTAACGTTAACATTATCGTTAAAGTAGTTATGGATAGTAAGATCTTTAAAGCGAAGTTCTAGTTTGCGGTCAAGCAATCTCCATACCAGACCACCGTTTCTGTATCACGATAGAGGAACACTTCTATGGATTCAGCTAATCGAGTTGGCAACTATTGTGTAAGCACACACGTACACATAATCATGTTACCGGCAGGCAGTCGAACCCGTTGTCGTCGTCCAAAACGACTATATGACTAGTAGAATGCTATAGTACTTTTATTACACGTACGATGTATGCTACGTATGATGTAAGTATGATGTATACGAGATTCATGTAAGTATAATGTGATAAACACCGTGCAACAAATATTTGCCTCGAACCTATAATTTTAAAACAACACGATACAAAAATTTTTTTATCGTAATATTATTTTCAGGTATTTTAAAATTGAATCATGCACTAATGGGAAAAACGCTTGATTAGAGACCTAAATTACATCACTATAATAATCACTATACCGATATTCATTCGTCATGATGAATCACGGTGAATCAAGATTTGGACTCACTAATTTTCTCTTTGATTAATCACCGGTAGCTACCGGTCGCAGAAATATGGACTAAGAAACGAGCATGAAATATCTCGGTATACATACTTCGTCATAAGTATTGACTAATGAAATATGTATCAAAAAATTCTAAATGATTACTTGTTCGCGAATACGTGTCTGACGCCTTAAATTTACGTATACGTTCTGTGAAATATTTTTTCTTTTTAACATCGAACTCGTTATTATCGTAATAACTCTTTCACATACAATCAATAGAGATTCACGTCATACAAATGCTTAGCCATTGCTTTGATTGGTAACGGAATCCTTTCAATTTAACCAAACGTGTAGATCGACATATATTTGATAGGAAAGCTGCTTTTGATGTAAATACATTTGATGTACGTTTACAGGAATCTGATGGGCTTATTATATCGTGTCTGTGTGAAATAATTTTCACTAAATTGCAGTTGTGTAGTTAGTTGGCAGTTTGATTAGAATTAGTTACGATCTTAATGGCCAACGGTTATAAATTGTACGACTTAGAAAATGAATCAATACTGGTTATTATTGCATTATTGACCGATCAAATTTAGTTATTAGCCCATAACTTTTTTAATCGTAAATATTTTTCGGTATATCGACTTTTGGTAGACTATCGTGAAGTTTCCGCGATGGGAAGCGTAAAAGCTTAAAAATTATGTGTTTCGGGGCGCTGACAATTTTACTGGCGCGTTTTAAAAGTTGCGTGCACACATAGATACCTGTATATACCTGTATAGCGGTCTTAAAAAGTTATTGGGGCGAGGATTACGGATGTAAAAAAGTTGAGGGCAAATACTTTACTCTTCAATATAGGCATTCTCTCGTACATAACTTGCAAAATACTCGGTCTTTCAGCAACGAAGTTACGTTTTTTTTTATATCTGTATCTTCTTCATGAAAAACGTCTTACGCCTCTTAAGTTAGTTCAATGAACATTGAAGAGCGTAAAGCCAGACTCTTACCATCTAATAGGTATATTACCCGAGAACTTAGTTCTAATGAGAATATGTATGGGATGCTATTAAGAATATTAGCATTTATCACCGCGCTACAAGCGGGAGCAAAAATAGGTTAACTGTTTCCAGGTTGTTTTGTTAACTGGATTATTATTATGCTCTTTATGCGGTAAGGAATTTCGAAATCGTAGTTAATATTGTTTCTGCGACTTTATTTCTTATTTGCAAACGAGAGAAATTTACAAATGAAATTAATAAAATAATTGTAGAAATAGATCATACATGTAGAAGTTAAAGTTGAACATATTTTTCTATTCTTTTTTTTTTTAATCCTTTAGAACAGAGAAAAGAATTGATTAGTAAAAATTCACGTTTCAAAAAACTCTTCGTAACTATAAAGTTTAACGCGTATCAGCTACATCAGTAACGACCAAATAATGGTGAAACGTTGATCGATAAAAATCGGGCTACTCCGCTGCTAAATGCACAGGTATCACTGGCTTAAATTCGTATTACAACACTTCTATCGCGATTTAATTTAAACCAAATTAAATATTGGATACACATGAATTACAAACGTACATTAATGCGTATTCGCTTTAAACATTCGTTTGGACATTTTAATCTCGCTTCCACGTTCTTAATTTAATTTTCTGTTCGTTGAATTGATATCTTGGTAATGACAATGTTTTTCGAGTTAGTCCACGAGATTATTTATCGGTTGACGCGCGTGTCAATGCATCATTGATCACCGATTATTGAAATGATTCTTATTGAAACATTAGTTATTCAGATCATTCCTTCATACTTGAGCGGCGCTAAATTAACCAAGGACTAATAAGTTCCGTTTTTAAATCATATCATATCAGTATTTTAAATATATATATACATGAAAAAGCGTTTAATATCGTAACAAATATTTCCCTGGCGTATATATAAATCGTGGATTGTTACTCTCTGAGTCAGTGCCGTCGGATATAGATATTAAAATATCCCGCATACCTATTGTACAGATATATATATATATATATATATATGTATTCCTTCGAACTCAGAGCCTCAGTTTCCTACAGATTGAACGTTCCGATATTCGTCAGAAATTGAATACATAGAGGGAAAATAAGCAATATAGTTCAAAAACTTCGTCTTACAATAATATTCTTTTTTTTTTTTTAATCATTCTATCATTGGATCCTTAATTTTTTCCCCCATTCATTGAATATTTAATAGATTTAGAATTTTAATAGATTTTACGCGAAATCGGCCGTTCCCGTCCATCGAAATTGGAAAACCTAATTAGATTGTATGTCGATATTAAATTAAACCTATAAATCATGGAAGAATCGATCCAACCATTCGTGTATAATCTCCAATGATTAAGAACCGGCTATACACAGCTATTATTAGGGGATTTCCGCGTTCGCTGTGCATAATGTTGACCCGTTTATTGTCTTTAAACCAACGATCAAATAAACCATAACAAATCTTTCGATATTACGATACGGCTCATCGATGTTTCTGACTTCGCGATACCTGTTATAGAAGAGAATTTCATCGGGAATCTGTTTAATATAATAAATAATGAATCACGATAAATCAGAATTTAACCGAGGGGGATAAGTTAAGAAAATAATCGGGCCATGGAAATTGGGTCGTTCGAGTGACGATGTTTCATCGGATGAATACGATTTATACATATATATATATAGGGTAGCTCGCAAAACCGTTAATTATTTCTAACTAGTTAGCCCGGGGGATGGCATGGTTGATTGACGCGACCACAGACACTGAATTAGAGTTCTCGGTGAACGTCGACCACTGGCCGGAAATTGAATTTCGATGACAAGCGCAAAATATTAATAGGCAACACGCCGATGTGTCGTTACGTAATATCCGAGTACTTGGACGTGGTTGCCTGTAGTGATAGAAATTGGGCGCAATTGTGGAATAATTGTGCATAATGGCGTCGCGAAAATATTAACGATTCAGTGAATACGGCCGCGCGTTTGCACGTCGTCCTCGCGGAGCACGCGAAAATCACGAATGCCGGCAACAGGGTACGCGTTTTGCAAATCATAATCGAATACTTACAGGCGAAATTACGCCTGTATCCGATCGCCGATCGCTAAACGTTAATTTTAAACAACCGATCTCAATTTTACTCATTATTCACTCATTATTGGTATTTCAGATTAATCTAATCGCTAATTCTCGGCTCGATATTCGAACGATCCTTCCTTTCATAGGCGAGTACATCAATCCCGGTCTTGGCTAGTTCGATTCGACGAACGATCAACGAGCTTAAGCGTGAAAAATTGTGGCATTAACCGTGGAAACGTTAACCGCGCTCATTTCAAAAGTGATACCGGTCGAACGATCGATCCATTCCTGTATCGCATAATCAGATTTCCACCCTGTACTTTGATACACCACGCCCCGTAAAATCCTCTTCCGTATGTTCAATCAATGATCGCGTTCCACGAGAGCCCCGTTCTCGTCATTCCTCGAACGCGTGCAAAATCGTCAGTTTTCGATCCGCGCGGGTTAATTTTGAGGGAACGAGGATCGAGATATCAAATTTTCGACGCTCGTTCGAAATTCGTTGAAACGTAAAATTTAAGCGATCGATAAACTCTCGTCTCAGTTTACATATGTATATATGCATAGCAAATCTAAATTAGAACAATCTTGTCTTATATCAAGATATACAATTTTCGAAGCATGTAGTTTCGATTCCATGACAAATCGAAAGGCTTGGAAGACCAATCAAGGAAAAGGAACGAAAGAGTCGAAGAGTATCGAGGATAAGTTCGTAACAAGTTTTGGATCGTGTCGGATAATATGACGAATGTTGCTCCAACTCGAGATCGTGCATCAAGGGGATTACGCGTCGAAGAATGTCAGAAGGTTATACACCGGCTATTTCGTTGCGAATCGAACAACGGGGGTGGGATTCAATTTCAAACGGTGAACGAGGGGGAAGGGGAATTTTGGTTGAAACGGTGGCGCGAATCGTTAGGAGTTGGGAGTTTCGATCGTAAAAAGAAAGACTGGTTCTAATTTCGAGGAGAAGATTGGCGAGCATCGGATAATCAGATTAGTTTTAAAACCGTGCTTACCTCCTTTGTTTCATCTCTTCTTATCTTTGCTAGGATATACCAATTGCCGGCCGACAGCCGTCGAATAGCAATCGCTCTTCTTAGAGTTATAATACCATGCCAGTGGAAATTCATCTGTATCAGATATTTTAAGTAGAAATAGCTTTCCCGTCCAAATTTACGACACGAAATGAACTTGGAATATTAGCCAATTCAACATTTCGGGATTCGCGTATGCAAATACGCGGTTGAGGGAATTCGAAATTTGGAATTTCGTTGAAAATCGGGTATAAAATCGATTGATTTTGCGTTAGTCGCGGTGGGAATAATAACTTTAATTCTACTTGGTCGATTTCAAATTATTTTAAAAGGGTCGAGTTAAATATTTGCCCTTTTTTTTTCAATTTAAATTTACCCGGTTGACTTCAAATTATCTTTAAAAGGTATTGAACAAATGGATTAAAATTTTTTTATCGAAGAAGCTGATGATCTATGGACTATGCAAGTGTCAACAACCGGTTATATATTTTGATCGATTATACCGACCGAGTAGATATGTAAATCGATAGACTATAGGCTACGAACATCACGAATAAAAACCTTAACGATTCTTAAGCGACGGCGACTCGGATAGAAAAAAAAAAAAAAAAAGGAAAAAAGAAAGAAAGAAGAAATTAAATTATCGTGGGCGACGTATTATATTTTTCGATGGCCCATTGTTAAACGAAGCATGAGCTTTCTAGCCACTCGTCGATACAATGTATAATTCATACAATGTGATCTTATAAGGAAGCCGATAATTGGATGTACGAAGGCCCCTATTGAATCCACCCCATGCGCGGTGCGTCTGGCTTCGATTTTCAGTGTTTGGTTTTGACAGGAACTTGCCTCTCGCTACATGATACTTTTCATACATGTGCGCTCATAATACGATCGAACGGGATTAAATCGAATTGTTTCGCGTACACGCGTTACTTTCTCTCCGCAATTTCAACCCTTTCGCTTTCACGAGTATTTTATTATACGTAATGATTTCCTCTTTGTTTTTCAACGACTCGTAGTTATCGCTGCTTTTTTCTTTTGTCCGCTTTTTTTATTT